CCAACTGCACCTTGTCATGCATCCACAGATGCATCTCAAGCAGATCCAAGGAGGTGATCCTCCCCCTCTATGCGGCACTGGTCAGGCCGCAGTTGGAGTACTGTGTCCAGTTCTGGGCACTGCACTTCAGGAGGGATGTGGACAACATGGAGAGGGTCCAGAGGAGGGCCACTCGCATGATCGGGGGCAGCACAGCAGGCCTCTACGAGGAGAGGCTATGGGACCTGAACCTATTCAGCCTCCACAAGAGAAGGCTGAGGGGGGATCTAGTGGCCTGTTACTAACTAGTCAGAGGGGACCAGCAGGCACTGGGGGAGCCCCTGTTTCCCCGAGCACTACCAGGAGTGACTGGGAATAAAGGTCACAAGCTGGCAGAGGGTAGATTTAGGCTAGATATCAGGAGGCGCTACTTCACAGTCAGGGCAGCTAGGATCTGGAACCAACTTCCAAGAGAAGTGGTGCTGGCTCCTACCCTGGGGGTCTTTAAGAGGAGGTTAGATGAACACCTTGCTGGGGTCATTTGACCCCAGTACTCTTTCCTGCCATGGCAGGGGGTCGGACTCGATGATCTGCTCAGGTCCCTTTCAACCCTACAAACTATGAAACAACAAGGGCCCACTACTGACTCATATCCAGCTGTTGTCCACTGTAACCCCCAGGTCCTTTTCTGCAGAGCTGCTGCTTAGCCAGTCAGTTCCCAGCCTGTACTGGTGCATGGGCTTGTTCTGTCCTAAGTGCAGGACTTTGTAGTTGTCCATATTGAACCTCATGAGTTTTCTTTTAGTTTAACCCTCCAATTTATATTAGTCTCTCTGAATCCTAGCCCAACCCTTCAGCATATCTACTACTCTTCCCAGCTTGGTGTTATATGCAAAACTGCTGACAGTGCACTTCATCCCATCTTCCAGGTCATCAATAACAATATTGATCAAAACTGGCCCCAGGACTGATCCCTGGGGTACTCCACTTGATACAGGCTGCCAACTAGGCATTGAGATACTTTAAAGTGCCAACTCATATTTTAATAGAAGTCTTATTATTAATCTTACATATGAGCTTTTGGACTTCCTGTTTTTATCACGTCTTTACTCACTGTTTTGGTGCAACATGGAAGGTTACCAGGAAGAATTATATCTATGCTTCCAGCACTTTTGTGGATGTTGATAAGCTGAGTAGGAGATAGGTATTTTCTGAAGACACTGCTCACTTCCTCTAAGGAGAGTATGGAACAAGAACATGTAGTATGACCTTGTATTAATAAGCTTATGCCTCAAGACAATGATTAAGCCTAGTATTTTAAAGGATGGTTTATGAGTAATGCCTGCTAAGACAGTAATGAAAGCATCCTATTAAAATAAAAGTAGAACCTAGGGATTCATCTACACTGGGTTCTTTTAGCCCCTGCTGGAGCTATGCTGATTCTAGGAGGAAATACAAATGCAAAGCCAGATCTGAATTTTGCAGCTGGCTCCTACTTCTACTATGGCTAATCAGTCAAGGACACTACAATCATCACAGCAAACTTTACCAGCTGTGAAATCTGGATCTCAATTTTATACCTGGAGCCTAGTTCTGCTTTAAGGTTTTGAATATGCTGATAATCTAACCACAGGGGTAGTTGCATCAGTGCCAGCAATGCAGTACAGTGGTGTAAACTGTGACTTGTACATACCCAGGTTTCTGTATTCACTTCCTATAGAACGATTTGCTTTTGGCCCCAAACCATCAGGGGTAGAGATCAGCTTTTTGATAAATATATGGACTAGCATTGGACAGTCAGTGGGGGTTGTGAGGAAGAGGGTTTATGTATAAAAATTGGGACAGAAATACTTTTTTTTTCAGTCTCTTTGATATATGGTACTGAAATAACAACTTTCAGACAATTGATTCAAAATGGGATTACTATGCCAAAGGGAAATTTTGATTTGGGTATCTTGGGCTCTGTTTGTACAATAAACTTGCTAGGCTCCAGGATAGTGATCTCAAACACTCTGTGCTACTTTGAGTGGGCTGCTACCTAAACCAGAAGCAGTTAGGCCACATCTGTACTGTGGATGGTGGCAGGCATATTTACCCTCCTGAGTGATGGTGCCAGTTAGCCTGCCCCCATGCTAATTTTCCACCTGCAGCTATACCACAGATATGACTAGCCTACTTCCAGTTTAAGAAGCAGCCTACATAGAGCAAAACAGTATACTTGAAGCACTCTGGAAATAGTAAAGTTGTTCTGTAGTTGTATCCTTATACTGTTATTCATTTCTGGGCTCTCTGGTCAGGTAACATCTGCCATAGCGTCCCACTTTCTTCCTGCTTGGTGTATCATAGAAGCTCATGGGTGTGCTACATCCTGGGAGATATAGTCTGGCCAGACAACCGGAAGAAATGAAGCACAAGGAATCTAAATAACTTCATGAAGCACAAAGTGACCATAGTGAACTGAGGCAGACAATGTTCTTTGTGTAAATCCTATATCTTTTACTAGACCAACTCAAATAGTTGGAAACTGAACTGAAATATTTCTTCTTTCAGCCTAAATCTTTTGGCTATGACCACACACATACCAACCCACACACAAACACCCCCCCAACAAATCGGTTTTCAAGCATTTAGATTTCAACAAGACCTCAACATTTTCATGGAAAGCAGATGCTTTTTGTGAACATTTTTGTTTACATGAAAGCCAGACTTTTTCATTTGAACAGTTCAAAGGACATTTTTCAGCCATCTCTATTGTGGATAGTATCTATCTATCTATCACAAAAGGGTCTTTCTCCATGACTGACATCTCTAAAGACTACCCTAAAATCAATAAATAGTAATAATTAAAGCGGCGGCCTTTCTATAAGTTAGGCTGCAGTTTATCTAACCCATTTCTTCTCAAATGCTGATGTTCAAAATGATCATCATGATCACTGAATACCTTGCCACTTTCAAAGCTATATTAAAAATTGAACACTAGTGATAGAGGGTTATCCATTGGTTTTCTCCTGTCCTCTACCCATTTATCAATTATATTTTGTGGGGGCAGGGAAAGTAAATGCTCTGCTTGCAGGAATAAAAGCTGCATTAAACTATACTTTTTACTTCATTTTCTATATGGTAGAGTTCACATATTAATTCTTTTTATCAGGGCAAAACTGATGTTATCCCCTCTTTGCTGCAAAAATTAAAGCCATTCTTAAAGTGACCTGAGACACCACATAGTGGAAAGGCATCTATTAGATAAAGTTAAATGAAAAGCAAGAAAGAGTTCTCTGTATAATCCTGATTCTTACCAATGACTCGGATAGATCTTTTCAAACAGTGAAATGAAAGGACCTGCAGTTTCTGAGGTTTTTCTAGGCTCAGTTACAGTTCCTAGAAAAAAAAAGCCAAAGTAGAAGAGTATCTAAAAGGAGAGAAGATCAAATTTATTTTCTGACACAAGGACTCTTTTTGCTACCGGCCATAAAAGGTAAGAAACAAGCCTTCAACAAAATATCAAAAGGAGCCATAAACAGCCCCTTCGTTTCAGGTCAATTTTACAAACTGAAATCAGTTAGTTTCCTACAACCATGTAAAACAAACTGTAGATTGTGGATTTTATCTGCTTAAGTTTGATTTGCAGACACTTCCTTGTACTCTTCCACCTTGCACAGGGAGTAAATCACAGCTGCACTTGTTTAATGAAGTCCTATTTTAAGTGTGACTCAGAGTTATTCCTCACTTGATATTTGAAATAATCAAATTAATTAATCTGCAAATCAATACATGAATGCTGGGCAAATAAGGAGGCATTCCCATCTCCAGTGTTAAATGTGTGTTTCTTTTATAATGCCATTGCTATTTAGTGATAATTAAGTTCAGTCGTCTACCTTTTGCATCAGTGAGCTGAAGAATTCCAGCTCTCTCAAATATGCTTTGGAGGGAAAATATTGGATCTCTGCATAGTCTTCCCTTGTATTCTATATACGCTTCTCTGCTAAAAAGCATATAGGATTTTGTGGGGGAAGCCACATTTGCAAAGGGTGGAGCAAGAGAGTGAATACTCACACTGAGATCAGATTTGGTTCAGGAGCAACCTCACAACTGGTGTAAGGCAGTACAGCTCCATATTTTTCAATGCAGCTGCACACAGTTACAAGTGCAGTGAATTTAGCTCCTAAAACCAATAAAGAGAATTGCTGATATTTCATCTAACGATTATTTTGAGTAGAGCTGCAGGAGCTTTCAAAGCCCAAAGTTCTGGGTTTCTCCCCTCTATCCTATAACCCAATATAGAAGTCAATGGGAGTTTCACTTGTCTTTGGAATCCTGTAAGGTATGGATCAGGACTTCATTATATCTATTTCAACATGGGATTTATATTATTCTGGGGTGGGTGTGTGTGTGTGTGTGTGTGTGTGTGTGTGTGTGTGTGTGTCATTATGTGTATTTCAACATGGGATTTATATTATTCTGGGGGGGGT